TCCAAACCTACAGTTCTAACGAAAATTTATCTATGCGTGTCTCTCTCACTTACACACTATCAGTCTTTGTTAAACTTACTCATTTTCTATCTTTTATGACCTCCCGGTAAAATGTTCTAACAATTCAGTGTTGAAATTGAATTCTTAGCATTGTTCTTCGTCTTCGTTTCACTTTTACCGTGTTTTATGATTTAGTATTTAAAAGGGTTCGCCATGAAAGTTAGAAATTCCCGAACCATTCAACCCTCAATTTTCACGGCCTATTTGTCCCAAATACTTCCCCCCGACGTGCTGAAGATTAATTAATCGAACAACATAAAAAGACCTTTCAAAACTTTTCCTATTGAAAAGATGCCTAAAGAATTAAAAGAAAAAGGTACTATATCTGTTTTGCAATTTAGCGTTTTGTCGAAAAATGGTAATAACAATTTTTGTTACAATGTACCTATATTGAAAAACGGGTTTTTTTTTACTGTTAACAAGTGGGCAAAAGTTCAATCAAATTTTATTGTAAATATGGGTTTTCAAGAATAAAATATTCAAGCAAAATGTGTGGTTTTCAGTGACCGTTACTTAATGATTATTTGGAGGTCGAGAGATGCGGTCCGGTGTGACGTAGGTTTTAGAAAAACATTTTCTTTATCGTGCCAACGTTTCGATCTTTATTGAGATCATCTTCAGGTTCCTGAAAAAAGCCGGTCTTCAGGATGGCGAGTTGTAAGTTTTTGAACGAACACCAGAACATTTGATTCACAAAAAAAAAAAAAAAAATTGGAACCACTTTTTTTTTTGAGGGTTCGCAACAGCAGAGGTAATATAAACCCTCAGGGTGCCGGTGCTTTAAAAAAAAGCCCATTTGTAAATTTGTCGGGTTCGAATGCAGGGCTGCTGGATTCGAACCCAGGACCTTCCAGTCCACCTTCCAGTTATGAGCGCCGTGTCAACGTCTAAACCGTTGCAGCCACCGACGCGCCACTGGAGCCACTTTTAAAGCTCCAAATCCAATGAAATCATTTTCATTCTACGCTGGAAAGTCTTGTTTAATCAAAAATTATAACTCGATTATAACAATTTTTTTACGAGGGTTCGGAACAGCGGAGGTTATATCAACCCTCGGGGTGCCGGTGTTTTTGAAAAAAAAATTTTGTAAGTATGTCAGGTTCGAATGCAGGGCCGCTGGATTCTAACCCGGGACCTTTACCGTGATGAGCGTCGTGTCAACGCCTAAACCGTTGCGGCCATCGACGACCCCAATATTACAATTTTAGTTACCTACTTTCAAAAACCATAGATTTATGTTACATTGTCCTTTATATTCATCCTCGTAAATAATTACTGGGATATCTAGACGAGATAACACGTTCAGGGTTCCTGAAGATGATCTCAATAAAGATCGAAACGTTGGCACGATAAAGAAAATGTTTTTCTAAAACCTACGCCACCCGAAAGCATCTCACGACCTCCAAATAATCATTCAATAAAATATTTATAAGTGTAGGGTTAATAACTAATATTACTTACTACTTATTACTCGAAAAGTTTTTAATTTCAAAAGATAGTTCTTACGAACAGAAGAAAACAAAGAACTTACTCATCTGATATTCTATGTCGAGTATCTCCGTCCTCAAGGCTCCATCCATAATCCGTGTAACAATGCACTGGAAACTAGAAACCGTACGGTGTCTCGGCGAAACTACAGCACCGGTTAGCCGGTATATTTCCGTCCTTTGGTTGGAAAAAAAGCGGACCAGTAGGTGAAAAAAAAAGCGTGACTCGACTGCCTAATTCTACTCTGAGATCACGCATGTCCTTGCCAACGTTTCATAACTAAAAGTAGTAGAAGAGTGGGCGCCCTCGGCGGCACTCCCGTCTTGTCCGCGTAGCCCACATCGTGCAGAACGTGGAATTCACTTTGTTTGTATATTTTTCGATTACCAGTCTATTATCGTCAAATCAACTTAAAACAAGATTTAGACAGAAAAATATTTCAAACCGAACACCCAGGGTTTCAGGGGACACAGGGTAACATAAGTACTAGTGAACATAAGTAATCAAGCCATTCTGAAAAATCTTTTGTAAATCATTCGTAAAAAACTGAAAATAATGAAATTTAGTATGTACAAAATAAGCTTTTCTGACGTGTACTAGCTTGATGGGAAGTATGATAGGCTTGACTTAAAGCACAATAATAAAAAAAGACGTTTCATCTGACTTGAATACGTCGAAGATCAACAGCCATCACGGACAAAATTTCTAAAGTAGTTTTAGAAAATGCTTCTTGCGAGTGAACTCAAAAACTACGCAACCTAGGAAAAAAATTTAAACCACCTAGGAAAAACGTTAGATATTGCAAAAAATCGACATTGCTTTATGTCAAAAATGATTTTTGATTTTGCCATTTAAAGTAACAACAGTTTTTCGAACAGATAATTTTCCTGATTTTCTGTTTAACTCACTTCTACTCAATGGATTTGCATTTAGAAGAATGTTTCTTTTTTAGGAGAGTCTGAACTTTCAGTTCAAGCTTAAACTTCGAAGTTCAAAGTTCAACCTCGTTTCGATACTTATGCAAGGTCATTAAATTGCTAAGAAAAGAGGCCCACAATTAGCCATATTTCGATGCCATTTTATCAAAATCTATTCGGTCTATTACAACCTACCTTTTTTGTTTTATTTTTCTTAGGGTATTACGAATTTTTAGTTATCGACTTTTAAAAATAGTGAAACGTTAATATTTCTTTTTGGTATTTTTTTTTTAAACCGCTGGCTACAAGTATTTGCGTATTTCTGCTTTATAAAATGAAAAAAGTATCGTTTCAGTATGATGAAGAAAATAGTAGAAATGTGTACCGAAAAGTGAAAAAGGACAGCTCTATTTGACAAAATTTTGCACATTTTCTTAATATAAAAAAATTAATTTTCTGATACATTTTCTCAAAATCTATTCAGTCTATTAAAACGACATTTTTTCGATAGTATACTATAAATTAGACACTAGAGTTAACAAAAATTAAAATTCTTTCATTTTTGTCAATAAACTAAAGTTGTGACAAAATTTTACACCTGTTACAATACAAAGAAAAATCTATTGGTCTACTGACGGGTGGTTTTTTTTAAACCGCTGGCTACAAGCATTTGCATATTTTTGCTTTATAAAATGAAAAAAAGTATCGTTTCAGTATGATGAAGAAAATAGTAGAAATGTGTACCGAAAAGTGAAAAAGGACAGCATTGTTGGACAAAATTTTACACATTTTCTGATACATTTTCTCAAAATCTATTCAGTCTATTAAAATAACATTTTTTCATTAGTATACTATAAATAAAAATTATTTAATTTTTAACAATAAACTATCTTTTTGTTTTTTTTTCTTATCGTACTACTAATTCTTATTTATTGCCTTTTAAAAATAGTCAATCGTTAATTTTGCTCAACAGACGTAAGTTATGACAAAATTTTACACCTGTACTTTATACAAAGAAAAATCTATTGGTCTGCTCCTGGCTGTTTTTTTTTACCGCTAGCTACATTTTACTGCTACATTTTACTACTTTTGCTATATAAAATGAAAAAAGAATCGTTTCAGTATGATGAAATGTTCTGTAGAAATGTGCACCGAAGGTTGAAAAAGTACAATTTCTTTATTTCTTGATCTTTTCCTTTGCTGCCCATTTATCTATTCGGTCTATTAAAACCAATTTTTTCCTTAGTTTACTATAAATTAGACATTAGAGTTAACAATTCCTTAATTTTTGACTATAAACTATTTGTGATACAATTTTACGCCTTTTCTTTATATCAAACTAAAAGCAAAAACAAAAAAAATGATTTCCCTGCTTCTGGGTAATACGCTCGCTATGAACGTTTGTGTATTATTGGTTTATATGGTTTATAAAGTGGGAAAAGAACCGTTTCAATATGATGAAGGCAAAAAGAGGAAATGTGAACTGAAACAAGAATTTTCCGCTCATCGAGCTAGAATCTTTCCCTCTGCCCGATTTACTCCATAAAAACTTAATCAAAATAACACCGATTCCTCTTGAAGTTGTATATGTTTTATTTTGGAATTTATTTTGATACATAATATACATAAAAAGCCGGTCTTCAGGGTGGGGAGTTGAAAGTTTATGAGCGAACACCAGAACATTTGATTCACAAATTTGAAAAAAATATTCGAACCACTTTTAAAGCTCGAAATCCAATGAAACCATTTTCATTTTACGCTGGAGAATTTGTAGTTTAATAAAAAATTTCGATTATTACAATTTTAGTTACATACTTCCAGGAACCATAGATTTATGTTACATTGTCCTTTATATTCCTCCTCGTAAATAATTACTGGGATATCTAGATGAGATAACACGCATGACATTAAGACAGTTTAGGCCGTAATAAATTCATTCTATAGTAGGAAAATATTTATTATGAGAAAAAGTTGTTTTATTGGATCATTCTAAGTTAATTAATTTAGCTAATCTAAGAGGCACCGTTGTTTAACGAAACATGAGCTCAATATCCTTAGTATTACTGATTTTCTCGAGACGATCCAGTGGAAAAGAAACAAGATGCTTTGATTTTACGGCTCTCAATAATATCAGCTCTGGTCAATTTGATATGAAATGTCCAGATCCCGACTATAAGCTGGTCTTTTCCACATGTCCAGCTCTAACCCGTGCAGGAAAATAAAAACGTGTCCGGAAGGCGGAGAACGAAATTTGGCAATAGAATAACGAAATTTAAACCTGTCCGCGTTGGCATGGACCCCGGCTATATTTATGTACCTGATAGAATGTGCACATTGTCTATTCATAGAAACGGCCTGTTCCACTAGACTCCCGGCCTGCCTAATCCGCTTCATTCCTTTACATTCCCCCACAACCTTCACCTGATCGTACAATGCACAAAAATCACCAATAACTACCCCATAATATTAGAAAATAAAATAATATAAAGAGACTTACTTATGTTAATTAAGAGAATAGTGTTGTATTCCACTCACCACAGGGTATCATATTAGACCTGGAACAAAAGAAAAGCACATTATTGATCAATCAACATTTGATTAAAACGTTGTTTCGTTCTTTTCTGTACTTCTCAGCACATTCATTCGCTCACGTGGTAAAGTAAAAAAAAAGCTTTAGCTTTTACACAGAAGGGCTTTAGCGTTTCAACGAGCACGAGCAAAGTCGATTTGGCCTGACTTCAAAGCATCCACTACCCGTCTAGTGCTTATTTTGTCTTTTCAGACTGGTAATTCTCAGACATTCGTTACGATTGCAATTACCCAAATTGCAGACAGTTTCACATTAAACATGCCACAAATAATGCCTCGGAATTTTGACACGTACTTTTGGACCAAAGCCCGCGCATGAGTCCGACGTGGGGAGAACGTTTGCTCGCTGTATCCGACCTAATTGAAGGGCGCACTACCTTGGCTCCGTATAGAGTGCGTACCCACCCGATATAAGAATCGTGCTTGAGCACAGCAGCGAGTATTTGGGTCCTTTGTTCCGATTTTTGAAGGAAACGGAGTTGTTTTATTGAATAGTTTTGAATACCTAGCGTGTGTTGAGAGTGAATGTATTTATTGTCGTGAATGTGTAATGCAAATGGGCCTATAACGGAATATTGAATACCCCATCAACTCTCAATTAGGTTAGTTATATAATAGGTGTAAAAATTGTGGAGAATGTCCAGAACTCCATCACTAATTGAGTGAATGGTATTTAAATAGGAAAGAATGTATTTAAGAGTGAGTGAGAGTATATGATTGGGTACTGAATTGACCTAGCTGTTGACGAGACCTATAGATGTAGATGTAATTTCAGGGTATAGTATACTGCGCCCTTATAGAGCTATTGTATCCCCCGTGCTCTGCCTAAAGCTCATCGGTTAGTCCTATTTCATCAAGAAACTTGAGTAACAGGCCCGGTTTCAGTGGTTGAAGCTCTTCTATGGCCACATTGTACATCCCAAAACACTTCCTTCTGCGGTAAGTGTAGCACCGCAGTTTGTTAGTAGATGTGTTAGTGTCTCTTCTGCCTCTTTGCACAATCTGCACGTGCCAGTTTGGATTATTCCAATCTTCTTTAAGTGTCCATTTAACTTGCAGTGTCCTGTTAGGAATTCTATTAGGATTCGCAGTTTATTGCTGCTTCCCTTGACACATTCTGTAATTTCTTTCCTTCCGAAATTGGTTAGAAGATTCTTGGGTTGTCTGTGTCCAATGAGTAAATTCCATAGTTCCCTCATTTTCTTTTTGTCCTTCTGTCTGAGATACGCGTTAATAGTGTGGGTTCCTATCCTGTGACGAGACCTGACCTAATGGTCGATAATTTATTGTAAATTAAATAATCTCGAATTGCTTGTGGACTACGAGAAGTAATAGACTTAACTCCGTACACTTGTGTATGCATGTGCAGATTTAAGCTTGTATTAATCAGTAAAAATAGTATGACACTTAATGACACAAATATGTATGTTACTACTCTTAACCCCTACAGATTAATAACTTTCAATCGCATATGTTTTGTCCTTATTGATTTGTGAGAGCCCGACCTCGGTGGCTGGACGGATAAGGCCGAGGCCTGGCCCACCCGGGGTGGGTGATTCTCGAGGCCTGCTTGTAATTTATTGCAAAGTGCAAAAGCTGGAATTGCCGGTGGAAATCATGGACAAAGTACATGTATATGTGTACGGACATATGCAAATTTGAGTTTAGATAAATGAGCAATCAGGAATACCTCGAAATTAGATTGTAATGCTATTTCTCAAGTACTCCGAGAGTTTTGAGGTTCAAGACATCCAAGCTCAAATTCATCATCCAAGAAGCATCCTCAGAAATATTCCTATAAGAACTTTAATTATTTATACATGTGAACAAGGAATTGCCAACTTTCACTCAAGTCAGACTGTACCTAGACAGCTGACCGACGTCCCCACACAAGACTTAAGAGAGAACTTAACATAAGACTTAACAAATACAAAGACTTTTAGGTCCGAAATCTTTTTTCGACCGTCAAAACTAACACTCTAGAAGACGTGTGAGGTGTTTAGTGATCGTTATTTAATGATTATTTGTAAATCGTGAGATGCGGCCTGGTGTGACGTAAATCCCAGGCACTGAAGATGATCTCAATAAAGGTCGAAACGTTGGCACGATAAAGAAAATGTTTTTCTAAAACCTACGTCACACCAGACCGCATCTCACGATCTACAAATAATCATTCTAGAACACATTACTACGACTACTTTGAACATATGGAATTTAATTGACCGTGGGGTTCTGCAAAGCCATCCAATCAAAAGTCCTCCGATAAATTTTCAAAGCTTTATCACGTCACATACCTTACTACTCCAATCATAAGAATACTAGGAAGCGGGATTTGTGCTCCCCAGGCACTGCAGCCTTTTGGCTTATTGTACCTTCGTAGTTCCTTAGTTCAGTGCAATAGGCTCAATCCTTCTCCTTAGAAGTATCACGTCATTGACTGTCGCTACTACAATTTCTTTCCCTAAGTTTTTTTCGTATGTTGGGTTAAATCTCCATTGAGCTATTTCTTCGCATTAGAAAATGATATGGATGGCTGATTCCTCTTCCTAATTACATAATCTGCACATGAGATCAACTACTACGATGATGTGTAGATGTTTTCTCAGATGCCAGTGACAGGTTAGTAGTCCTATCACTCGTCTGAGTTTAGCCTTCTCCAGTTGCAGGAGTGATTTTGCCAGTCTTGATGAGGATTGTTTCATCATATGAATACTATGTCTAGCGCCGCTAGAGTTTATCCATTTCTCCTTTTGCTTTGTTTGAATCCATTCTGCGATGGAGGATTCTACATTTGGTTTTGTTATCCAAAGGATAGATTCGGGGCCTATGTATGGTATTGCTGATCCTCCTCTGGCCAGTCTGTCTGCTTTCTGGTTACCTAAAATTCCTCTGTGCCCTGGCACCTCAGGTTTTGGAAATTTTGGATGCATTCACTGACTAATTTTGATGTGTTTCTTTTACATACTAATGCTTTAGTGGCTGCTTGGCTTTGAGATCTTATGAAGACTTTTTTGCCATTGTAACCTGTTCTAAGATTTTCCAGATTCTATTGATGGCATGTATTTCTGCTTGAAAGATCGAAGTATACTTCCCTAATGCCCGATCCGGTTCGTTCATTTGTTTTGGAGCCATCTGTATACCATATCATTGTATCTGATGCTCTCCTGTGTTCTTCCTCTCCTTTTTAGTCCGTTGAGACTTTATAGGATGTTGTAAAGAATGTTTCTGGTATCATATAGTCAGTCCCCATTTCTAAGAATCCTGACGTTCCCGCATCCTCAATTTCCACCCCTAGTTCTTGATCCATTTTAACCCTTCTGCCCAAGAAATGTTAGGGACTTTCGAAGACCTTCTCGTCCTTAACGTCTCACTGTTTCTCTTAATATGTTTCCTCCATAGTGGCCAACTTACAGGTCCAACATTGAGAAATCTTACAAAACTGTCATCCTGTACATGTTACTTAAATGATTTTCAACGAAACTTTTGGCATTTTAGACTCTTGTCAAGGGAGGTTTCAAAAATAAACCTCTTCTGAATTCATCTGCAGACAAAAATATGAAGCGATTTGCTCGAAAAGGTTTCAACTCGATAGTTTCACGGCGCGTCTAATGGGCAGATGTATCCAATTATTTTGCAGACAGTCGATTTGGCAATGTTCGACTTATTCGCCACGGGGTTCGTTACAGCTTCCATTTCCACGATGTCGTTGTGTCGATTTAAAAATGCCTAAATATATCCGACTGCTAAACAGGATTAGGTTTATTGACAAAATAATACCTGATGTAGCATGGTTGCGAACTCTCACATAAAGCTTGTCATCAAATTTGATGGAAGCCGGGTCGGCCTTGACGACGGTGGCACAAAACCCGTTATTAGATTTATTCCCTTGACCTAGCACGATCGATTTAAATGTTAAAACCCATTTAGAGACCAGAGGGGGTTGTTCGCTTGACCTTATAACAAAATCTGTTACAGCATTTTTTTTTATTTTATAAAACCAACTTTTAAATCGCGAAAAAAATGGCTTCTTGTATAATTAATCTATTTAGCGTTACAAGGGAGTGCGCCTGGGTTGGGTTAGGATAGGACAATCACACCCGGACACAGGCAATCGAAAGAGTTCGTTAAGGTGATCAAACCAGCAGAATCGAAATGGCTCTAACTAAAGGAAGGGAATTAGGAGGCTGATAGGTATCCTGACGGGCCACTGCCCACTGAGAAGACTCCTTTCCGTAATGGGTATTCTACCAGATCCCTTTTGCCGTTTTTGCGAAATAAAAGAAGAAACGGCAAGGAACTACCTCACAGAGTGTGATAGGTATGCTAGGTCCAGATTTGAACTCTTTGAAGGAGCGGACATCACAAAATCCCTCCCCGAGATAAAATGGACCAAAATCTTGGGGTTTGTAAACAAGTCCAAGCGATTTATGCAGGACACGTGAGCTGACCAAGTCCCGGACCTTTCAGGGATGGGGTACGAGTCTACCCAGGCATTTAACCCCTCGGGTCTTGGTCGCCCCAGGATAGGTTAGGAATGGTTAGGATAAAAGTTAGGTTACATATCCATGATTTAATAAACTCCTGTAGAATGACAGGTGAGGGTTAGACTAGGGTGACGGTTAGAGGCAGGTTTGGTTATATAGCTTACGTATCCAATTTTTTTCCGTGAATCGGAGAATAGTGTGAAACTTTAACTAAAAAATCAGTTAAGCTTCAGAAAAACAGCATTTTACAGGTCTGACGTGTTAAGGTTAGAGATGTGTTAGGTTAGATAGGTTGGTTAGGTTAAGGCTAGGGTTAGTGTTAGGGATGGGCTAGGTTAGGATAGGTAGTTAAGGTTAGGAACAGGGAGTGGTTAGGTTAACTGAGGAGGTTAGGGGCAGGCTAGGTTACATTTTCACGATTCAATAAACTAGATTTTTAAAGTTGTGACGAGTTAGATTAGGTTAGGGTTATGGTTAGAGGC